CCATCTCACATGCAAGGATACACAAAGGCTCAAAATAAAGGGATGGAGGAAGATTTACCAGGCTAATGGAAAGCAAAAAAAAAGCAGGAGTTGCAATTCTCATCTCTGATAAAATAGACTTTAAAGCAACAAAGATCAAAAGAGACAAAGAAGGCCATTACATAATGGTAAAAGGATCGATACAACAAGAAGAGCTAATGATCCTAAACATATATGGACCCAACACAGGAGCACCCAGATACATAAGGCAAGTTCTTAATGACTTACAAAAGGACTTAGACTCCCACACAATAATAGTGGGAGACTTTAACACTCCACTGTCAATACTAGACAGATCAACCAGACAGAAAATCAACAAGGATACCCAGGGCTTGAACTCAGACCTGGAGCAAGCAAACCTGGTGGACATTTACAGAACTCTCCACCCCAAATCCACAGAATACACATTCTTCTCAGCACCACATCACACCTACTCTAAAATTGACCACATAATTGGAAGTAAAGCACTGCTCAACAAATGCAAAACAACTGAAATCATAACAAACAGCCTCTCAGACCATAGTGCAATCAAGTTAGAACTCAGAATTCAGAAACCGACCCAGAACCGCACAGCTTCATGGAAACTGAACAACTGGCTCTTGAATGTTGACTGGGTAAACAACGAAATGAAGGCAGAAATAAAGAAGTTCTTCGAAACCAATGAGAACGAAGACACAACGTGCCAGAACCTCTGGGACACATTTAAAGCAGTCTCTAGAGGAAAGTATATAGCAATAAGTGCCCATATGAGGAGAATGGAGAGATCCAAAATTGACACCCTATCGTCAAAATTGAAAGAGCAGAGGAGCAAGATCAAAAAAACTCAAAACCCAGCAGAAGACCAGAAATTACTAAGATCAGAGCTGAGCTGAAGGAGATTGAGACACGAAAAACCCTTCAAAAAATCAATAAATCCAAGAGCTGGTTTTTTGAAAAGATCAACAAAATAGACAGACCACTAGCCAGATTGATTAAAAATAAAAGAGAGAACAACCAAATAGATGCAATAAAAAATGATAAAGGGGAAATCACCACAGATTCCACAGAAATTCAAACTATCATCAGAGAATATTACAAACAACTATATGCGCATAAACTAGTAAACCTGGAAGAAATGGATAAATTCCTGGACTCCTGTGTCCTCCCAAGCCTAAACCAGGAGGAAGCTGAAACTATGAATAGACCAATAACAAGGTCTGAAGTCGAGGCAGCAATTAAGAGCCTACCTCACAAAAAAAGCACAGGTCCAGACGGGTTCACAGCCGAATTCTACCAGACACACAAGGAGGAGCTGGTACCATTCCTTCTAAAACTATTTCAAACAATCCAAAAAGAGGGAATCCTTCCCAAATCATTTTATGAGACCAACATCATCCTGATACCAAAACCCGGCAGAGACCCAACGAGAAAAGAAAACTTCAGGCCAATATCCATGATGAACATAGATGCAAAAATCTTCAATAAAATATTGGCAAGCCGATTGCAACAGCAAATCAAAAAACTTATTCATCATGATCAAGTAGGATTCATCCCGGGGATGCAAGGCTGGTTCAACATAAGCAAGTCTATCAACGTAATTCACCACATAAACAGAACCAAAAACAAAAACCACATGATTATCTCAATTGACGCAGAGAAGGCATTTGACAAAATTCAACAGCCCTTTATGCTAAAAACCCTCAATAAACTCGGTATCGATGGAACGTATCTCAAAGTAATAAAAGCTATTTATGACAAACCAACAGCCAATATCATACTGAATGGGCAAAAACTGGAAGCATTCCCTTTGAAATCTGGCACTAGACAAGGATGCCCTCTCTCACCACTCCTATTCAATATAGTACTGGAAGTTCTAGCCAGAGCAATCAGGCAAGAAAAAGAAATAAAGGGTATTCAAATAGGAAAGGTGGAAGCCAAATTGTCTCTATTTGCAGACGACATGATAGTATACCTAGAAGACCCCATCGCCTCAGCCCAAAAATTCCTGAAACTGATAAACAACTTCAGCAAATTTCAGGATATAAAATCAATGTGCAAAAATCACAAGCATTCGTCTACACCAATAACAGACTTAAAGAAAGCCAAATCAAGAACGAACTGCCATTCGCAATTGCTACAAAAAGAATAAAATACCTTGGAATACAACTCACAAGGAACGTAAGGGACCTCTTCAAGGAGAACTACAAACCACTGCTCAACGAAATCAGAGAGGACACAAACAGATGGAGAAACATTCCATGTTCATGGTTAGGAAGAACTAATATCGTGAAAATGGCTATACTGCCCAAAGTAATTTACAGAATCAACGCTATCCCCATCAAGCTACCATTGACTTTCTTCACAGAACTGGAAAAAACCACCATGAACTTCATATGGAACCAAAAGAGAGCCCGCATAGCCAAGTCAATTCTAAGCAAAAAGAACACAGCGAGGGGCATCACACTACCGGATTTCAAACTATACTACAAGGCTACAGTAATCAAAACAGCATGGTACTGGTACCAAAACAGAGATATAGACCAATGGAACAAAACAGAGGCACCGGAGGCAACACAACATATCTACAACTATACAATCTTTGATAAACCTGACAAAAACAAGCAATGGGGCAAGGATTCCCTGTTTAACAAATGGTGTTGGGAAAACTGGCTAGCCATGTGCAGAAAGCAGAAACTGGACCCCTTCCTGACACCTTACACTAAAATTAACTCCAGATGGATTAAAGACTTAAACATAAGACCTGGCACCATAAAAACCCTAGAAGGAAATCTAGGCAAAACTATCCAGGACATAGGAGTAGGCAAGGACTTCATGAACAAAACACCAAAAGCATTGGCAACAAAAGCCAAAATAGACAAATGGGACCTAATGAAACTCCACAGCTTCTGCACGGCAAAAGAAACAGTCACTAGAGTGGATCGGCAACCAACAGAATGGGAAAAAATTTTTGCAGTCTACCCATCTGACAAAGGGCTGATATCCAGAATTTACAAAGAACTCAAGCAGATTTACAGGAAAAAAACAAACAAGCCCATTCAAAAGTGGGCAAAGGATATGAACAGATACTTTACGAAAGAAGAGATATATGAGGCCAACAATCATATGAAAAAATGCTCATCGTCACTGGTCATCAGAGAGATGCAAATCAAAACCACATTGAGATACCATCTCATGCCAGTTAGAATGGCGATCATTAAAAAATCTGGAGACAACAGATGCTGGAGAGGATGTGGAGAAAAAGGAACACTTTTACACTGTTGGTGGGAGTGTAAATTAGTTCAACCATTGTGGAAGACAGTGTGGCGATTCCTCAAGGCCTTAGAAATAGAAATTCCATTTGACCCAGCAATCCCATTACTGGGTATATATCCAAAAGACTTTAAATCGTTCTACTATAAGGACACATGTACACGAATGTTCATTGCAGCACTGTTTACAATAGCAAAGACCTGGAATCAACCCAAATGCCCATTGATAATAGACTGGATTGGAAAAATGTGGCACATATACACCATGGAATATTATGCAGCAATCAGAAATGATGAGTTCGTGTCGTTTTTAGGGACATGGATGAATCTGGAGAACATCATCCTCAGTAAACTGACACAAGAACAGAAAATGAAACACCGCATATTCTCACTCATAGGCGGGTGATGAAAAATGAGAACACATGGACACAGAAAGGGGAGTACTAAACACTGGGGTCTATTGGGGGGAAAAGGGGAGGGCCAGTGGGAGGGGGAGGTGGGGAGGGATAGCCTGGGGAGAAATGCCAAATGTGGGTGAAGGGGAGAAGAAAAGCAAAGCACACTGCCATGTGTGTACCTACGCAACTGTCTTGCATGCTCTGCTCATGTACCCCAAAACCTATAATCCAATAAAAAATTAAAAAAAATCTATAGGGAGAATCGAGAAATAGATCAGAAGTGCAAGGGAAAACTGATTCCAGGCTGGCACGAGTGAATGGAGTACACAGAAAAAAGAGACTTTGTTCTGACCTTGTGAAAGGAATACTTGGTGGCCAGATTCTCATTTTGCCTGAGATTTCTCTCCCCATTTGGTGTTTTCAATTTTAGGATCCAGTGATCTCTATGCTAAAATAAGTTGGATGAAGACAGCTTCTTACTCAAGAGTATCATCTTATTAGGTTATAAGAGTTGACCACTCCAGTTCAATACCACCTGTATCCCACCCACATGGGACTGCTGCTTGCCTAGCTCTGTTGAGTGTCCCTGTCAGTGTCTCTCAAATCTTCTATATCTCCCACAAGGTCCTCTCGTTTCTTTTCTGCTGGTTGCACTCCTCCCAACTTTACTGAGTTTACACAGGTTTATTTTTCTTTTCTTTTCCTATTTCTTCCCAGGATTATTTATTTGTTATATTTTCTTACACTTATTCCACTCAAGTTTCTCCGTAGATGGGCGGATTAATGTTTTTAGTGTGAGATATCATAACTTGGCATAATATATCAGTCTATAGGAGCATTGACAATTGGAACAGGACTCTTTTTAAACATGAAGTACCTAAGTTGTTTTTTCCTACAGTTACAAATATCAAAGTTGTTGACCTGAAACCAAGGGGCCTCTTTCACATTTCCGTTTAACAAAAAAATTCTTGCCACATTTGTTTGCCTTGATTAATTAATTAACGACATGTGGTCCACACTGACTTTAAATATGAGTCTCTGGTCTAACTTTTTTTTTTTTTTTTAAAGAATTGAATAAAGGAATAATCCTTTTCATTTACTGTAATGCTTACATTCAGAAACACAAGGCCATATGAACTCAGCCCCGACTGAGCCAACTGATCACCTCCCCTCTACTTGATGAATGGCTTTACAAAATAATATAGAATGTCTCAATGGTATTCCAAAGTCAAGAATGCTGCCTTCTGTGAATAATTGCTCAGTAAATTACTCTTCTATTTTTAAATAACTCATTTCTCATGTATCTAGGATTAAAACCGTATACCCTACAGAAGGTGACATCATCACAGATTCGGGAAGAAAGAAACACATTCTGTTGGTTTTGATATCACATCTCTCAAATGAGAAGAAAACCATTCACTTCCTTGGATCCGTGGTTCCGCCTTTGGCCTCCAGGGGGCGACGTTGCACTAAAGAGGCATTTGCGTTCGTTGCAGACCATTCTCATCCACTGAGCCTCCCCCTTGCAGCTGGCTGACGCAGCTCACTAATGTCTGTAGATACGGAGCTGTGACGAGAACAGGAGGCCAGAAAGCATCCAGGCTCTTTAAGAGAAAACCTTTCTTAAACGTTTTTGAAACTTTTCAAATTCAGCGACTTGTCCCGTCCAACCTCCCCACTGCTCCTAGCTCCCGAGGCTCAGTGCTCTTGGCCTCTATCCGCCCTGCTCAGGGTCCTGCAGCGTTGCCACTGCTCAGCCATGCTTCTGCTGCTCGTCCCAGTGCTCGCGGTGATTTTTGTCCTGGGTGAGTAGCATTCCATTCCTTTTCCTCCTTTTGTAAATGTGACTACGTTGTAATTGCCTCTAAATAGAGACATCTTTTCTTAGAGAAGTCTGTGCTGCATTTACTTACACAGCATTGGTGTTGCAGGAGGAACCAGAGCCCAGTCTGTGACCCAGCTTGACGGCCAGGTCACTGTCTCTGAAGAAGCCCCTGTGCTGCTGAAGTGCAGCTACTCGTCGTCTGTTTCAGTGGTGTATCTCTTCTGGTACGTGCGATACCCCAACCAAGGACTCCAGCTTCTCCTGAAGTATCTATCAGGACCCACCTTGGTTAAAGGCATCAAAGGTTTTGAGGCTGAATTTAAGAAGAGTGAAAGCTCCTTCCACCTGAGGAAATCCTCAGCCCATGTGAGCGACGCAGCTGAGTACTTCTGTGCTGTGAGTGACACAGTGCCTGAGACTGCAGGGGAGCTGAACACAAACCCCCTGAGATGCTGAGATTTTCTGTGACTCAAGAACTCAACCTTGAAGTCTGTTTTATAATGTTAAATAGCCATTCATAGTTTCTGATGCTTACTGGTGTATGCTGTATCTTTTTCAACTATTTATTTTTAAACTATATATGACTTTAAAGTGTGTTTCTGCATTGTGAAATTTAGATAATTAAAATTGAACATAAACATCAATCAGGTTGGATTTAAGTATATTTCATTATTGTTTTTATGTTTCACTCATGTTCTTTTTTTTCTGACTCCTTTTGGATTACTTAAATACTTTAAAATTCATATTTTAATCATCTGTGAACTTTTTGGCTATATCTCTGTACTTTTTGAGTAGTTGCTCTGGAGATGGCAACGTACATGCCTAATAATCCAGGGTCTTTGGTGAGCAAATATCATACCTCTTTATGTGCAATGTCGAAATCTTATACAATGTCTCTTTACCAACACTAAAGTTTGTTATTGTTGTTCATATATATTAGTTACATACATTGAAAACATCAGGCCTGGCGCAGTGGCTCATGTTTATAATCCCAACACTTTGGGAGGCAGAGGCGGGAGGTTTGCTTGAACTCAGGAGTTTGAGACAAGCCTGGGCAACAAAGTGAGACCCCATCTCTACGAAATAAAAAAAATTAGCCGGGTATAGTGGAATTTATCTGTAGTCTCAACTACTCGGGAGATTGAGGCTGTATGATAACTTGAGCGCAGGAGTTCGAGGCTGCAGTTAGCTCTGATCACGCTACTGTATTCCAGCCTAGGCAATAGAGAGAGATCCTTGTCTCATTTTTTTTTTTTTAAATCACAATATACAGAAAACTTTACCATACAATGTTATAATTTTTTGCTTTCAACAATTATATGCTCTTTGTAAAACTTAAGGAGAAGAATAAGAAGTATTTTATACTTAACAGCTATTTATCATTTCTGGTATTCTTTTGTTCCTGAAGATTTGCCTTTTCCTCTGATACCAGAGGATATATCTGAAATTCCCTTCAAACTTAAAAACTTCCTTTAGCACTTTTTCTAGAGTAGATTTGCTGGGAACCATATTTTTTGTTTGTTTATTAGCTGAAAATATATTTTTAACTTGCCCTTTATTTCTGGAAGGCAGTTTTTACTGGGTCTGTAATTCTGTGTCAACACTCCCCCTGCCCCACCCCCTTTAAAGATGCCATTTCATTGTCTTTTGGCCTCCATGCTTTCTGAATAGAAATCCATAGGCCATTCAAGTAATTGTCCTCCAATGATGTAATATATTGTTTTTCTCTAGCTGTTTCATATATAAGCTGTTTACACACACACACACATGAGAAATCATACAATCGTTTGTTGTCAATGGTTTAATTATAATGTGTTCAGGTGTGGTTCTCTTTGGTGTTACCTTGTTTGGGGCTTAAATTGATAAACACATGTCTTTCACTGAATTTGGCAACCTTTTGGCCATTCTTTCTTCAAATATGTTTTCTGACTCAATATCTTTCTTCTCTCCCTCTAGGACTCCAGTTAGACGTAATTTAGACTTTAGAATATTTTCCTAAGGTCTCCAGGGCTCAGCCTTTTTTTCTTTCAATTTTCAAATTGATTTTAAGGTTTTTCAGTGTTTCCTGACCTTGGCACTACTGACATTTTGGCCCTAATAATATTTATTGGGGTGTGGGGAAGCCCTGTTGTAGAATTTTTAACACCACCACTGGCTTCTCCACACCAGATGCCTATAGTACTACACACCCCAAGTTGTGACAGCCAAAATTGTGTCCAGATTTGTCTCCTGGGGGAAGAAAAATAAAAATTAGTTGAATTAAATAATCTATATTGATCTATTTTCAAGTTTGAACATTCTTTTCTCTATCATTATTTTGCTATTGAGCCCCTACTGTAAGATTTTTATTTTGAATATTGTATTTTTCAGTTCAGTTTCTATTTTCTTTCTTTGTGGAACATAATCAAAAGAACTACTTTGACATCTTTTTCTATTAGTTTTAGTATCCTAGGCATCTTGGTATTTGCATCTGTTGATCTTTTACTTAAATATTAGTTCATTTTTCTGGCTTTTTGTATGTCAAATAATTTTGAAGGACATCTTAAATATTTCAAATATTATATGTGTACACTCTGTTTTCTCCTCCTCATCCTTCTTCTTCTTTAAAAAACAATAATCTAAAGAATATTAATGCTTTTGTTTGAGCAAGAAATCGACCTAGATCATACTGTTAGCTATGTCTCCCCTTTTGTGGAATTTGTTAGCTCAAAATCTCAGTTTATTTCCCTAATCATTTGCAATGTTGGTTTTCATTTATACCTGTCATGTGTAGCACGGGGATAAGTGAAACCTGTTTGGGTGGCTCAAATCTCAGGTCAGTTCCCGAACTCTCTGCTATATTGGTTTTAATTTGTCCTTCATGGGTGCCACTCAGTGGGTAGTCTGAGACTGGAATGGTGGTTCAAATATCAATTAAATAACCTAAGATTTGTTGTTTTGGCTTGAATGAGTCTCACATATGTGGAGCCTTGGGATTAGCCTGAGACTTAAACTATTATCCATCTCTTCCCTAGGATCTCCCTTTTCTAATATGACCCACAGAGGCAGAAAATTGTGTTTCTTGCAGAGTTTTGACTTTCTACATCATTACTATCTTGCTGTGCACATCAGGGGCCTCCCTCAGGGCAAAGCCAAGAGAAACAGAAAAAAATATGAAGTTCACCCTTGTGCAGGTTGCTTCTCCAATTTTTGACTTCTCTACACAATCTGCTAGCTTTTGGGTAATTTCACATTCCATGGGTGGTTTTTTATTTTTTATTTTTATTTCTGTATTTTTTTCAGTTTTTACTTACAATCCATGGCAAAGTTATCTTAAAGTCATCTCTATTCTACTATGTTCCTGCATTAATTCATGGTTCTCCATAATATTCATCACGAATGGCTACTTGACCCTTTTTAGTTAGTCTAATTCATTTTTTTATATTTGTAAATTTTTTCTCATCAAGATTATAGGGACATTTAATTAAGGTCTTGAATTTTTTTGATCTTTCATTTATTTATTTATTTTTTTATTGCATTTTAGGTCTTGGGGTACATGTGCAGAGCATGCAATACAGTTGCATAGGTACACACATGGCAGTGTGTTTTGTTTGCTTTCTCCCCTTCACTTACATTTGGCATTTCTCCCCAGGCTATCCCTCCCCACCTCCCCCTCCCACCGGCCCTCCCCTTTTCCCCCCAGTAGACCCCAGTGTTTAGTACTCGATCTTTCATTTCTTATTTTCCAAATTTATGATGCTTTCTTTGGTGCAAAAAAGTTGAGGACGCGTACTTGTCTTTATAAATAATTCAAGTGCTATTTTATTCTAAAGTCTAAGAATTTTTGTATTCTGAATTATATCCGGATTTAACAGTATGTTAAGGCATAGTAGGACTATTCAAAGACGATGGTTTTGTTGTTGTTGTTGTTGTTTTAGTACCTAAAACAGACCTGATTGGTTTTAATTTTCTCTTTCTTTGTTTTTTTTCATTTATGATTTTTTGCTTCTTTTAAATGGATCATGTATTTTGGGGCTGTGTTTGGAGGCTTTTAAATCTTCCAGGAAATCATGTATTTCTTAGAATGCTGCCAACACCCTTAATTGAGAATATTCTAATTTTGATCTTACTCTTATATATGAGGTGTTGCTTCTACTATTGTAGAGGATTGAAGAATTTCTTTACATTCTTCCAGTGCAGAGCAAAGGGCAATATTCCAAGACATCACACAATCTTACAGCCTTTGACTTTGAACACACTGGGCTTTGCAAATGTCCAGAAACTTTGAGAAAAGTTATTCAAATGACCACCATTCTGAAATCCAGAAGAAGTTGCTCCTCATAGCTTATTTTTGACTGTTTTTTTCTGCTCTGACATTAATCTTCAATGTGATTCCACCTACTTTCTGTCTCCTAGAAATATGTGTTACTCTTGCCTCACCAAATGACCTTCATTCTTTTTACTCACGTGAAGTTTGGTCTATTTCCATTTTTATTTCTATTCTTTAGGAAGAAATTTTCAAGAGATCGGAAATGAGCGTATAGCACTAGGAATTAGAAGTTCACACTCAAAGGCTACACGTTTACAAAAGTGACAGCATTACTCAATTTTCTTCATTCAAGACAATCTCTTCAGACAGGAACGAGTGAATCAAGAACCCAAGGAGAGAACTGGGCTTATGCTTTCAAATCAAAGGAAAGACGTATTCTGACTTTGTCAAGGATCCTACTGGCCACAGAGAAAGCAGTGACTTTCTCCATTCTTGTGTTTTCAGAGTTTTATTTTTTTCCCCATGCACCATCTACATTTATTATTATTTGTTTTTTATTTTTAAATTTCAACTTTTACTTCTCACTTGGTGTGGTTGTATTTTCTTCAGCCCCAGAGGTTTCTGTAGTTTTATCTTCTATAGCCCTAGGGAAAAAGCCTTCCCATCATGAGTTACGCCTTGTCATTAGTCACAGGGAGGCACTACTCTCCATTACGTGAAATCTGTCTTTTACTCTATGGCTGCATAAGCATCATCTGAGGGAAATATCTCTACCATCTTCCATCACCACATAGCAACACTGAACCATCCAAAACTCAGCCCAAGGCTATTGGTCTGAGCCCAAACTCTCATGGACTCAAATCTAAATTCTGATACACTTTTCAATAACGATTCCTCGGTGAGCTAACGTATTACTCCATCTTTACATGACATCTTATTGCTAATGAACTCTAGGACTAAAACACCACCACAGATTTGGTCAGGAAGAAAATGTCATGTGGAAATTTTGATATATCTCAGAAAACAAGAGGAGCACACTAATGAATTCTCTGCAGCAAACTCTCGTTCTGCATCTGGCCTCCAGAGGCCAGCATCTGCGTTGCTGCGCAAACTGGAGCTCTTGTTTCTGCTGAAGATCAATCCACTGCTCAGTTCTTCCTCCCTGCAGCTGGGTGAGTTCTTTCCAGACAGAGACAAGTGACAAGAATCAGAGGTTTAAAAGCAACGAGATTCATCTCAGCAGCTTTTGTATTTTTATCTAA